GTCAAAATTCGAATTCTAAATGTTGAAAAAGCAAAAGAAAATACATAAATTTGATAAATAGACAATTCTATTGAAAAAATGGCAGTGTTTTTTTAACTCTCCCCTGAAAAATGTAACCTTTTGGGCTTAGTAGAACATTTAACAGCTTGCTGAGGAAAAGCACACTGAAGGTGTCTCATCATAAACTCAAGTTTTAATTTTTCATGCAGAACACAAAGGAAGATTGTATTGGTAGCACCATTTTAAAATGCACGATACAATTTCATAACTTAATACGACAGCTAGGCTACATATTGCTACTGTGAGCTCTTGCTCTTTTCCTTCTCAAAAACTCTCCTGACTGATGAAATAGCCCAACTTCTAAATAAACATCAACTGTCACAGCAAAATTTTACAGCAAAGAAAGTACCATTCTACGGTATTCAAAGAGTTTTTTATTTTCCCTTCAACTTGTATTTAAAATTAGCATTATTTGGATGAACCAAACACCTATAAACAGAAAGTTTTGCTGGTTTTTTTAAGACACCCATCTTAATATCTTAACAAAAAACAATTTCCATACTTGTACCTTGAGTTTAAGCAAAGTTTTTTTCTTTTTTCTCTTTTTAAAATATACTTCCATAGCTATGTAAAAGCACAATTATAAGATTCAATACCGAATCTGAGAAGGAATAAAAATTATAAAAACAATACAAAAATCGTGACAATATCAAAAGTACCCAGAAAATGCTGCTCCAGACACACACCACCATGTCTCTTCCATATATAATAAAAATTTGCAGAATTTCATAATATCAATCGCATATTGTACCAAAAAGAAACACTTGTTTATGCTTTATCTTTTAACTCCATAGATGATATATTCAAAGAAACTGATAATCCCCATCACAAGAAGAAGCAAAATTTTGATCAAAGATTTTTCTCCTCCTATGACATGAACTGAAAAGTGAGCTTTGACTGGACATTTGTCAGATGATGATTAATGATAACTATATCAATTTAAAAAAAAAATTAAAGTAATCAACCACAACTGTCTTCAAAGTCATTTTTTTCTTTTCCTTTTGTTCCAACACTTGATCTCCATTGCAGGTGATCCTTATAAGAGACCCAAGAACGATAAAGACATACATGTTAACTCACTTGAGCCTGAGCTATTTTTCACCCAATGCCCAATACAGCCTGATATTTTTTAGGGTATATTGAATCATTAATCACAAAAAGACTGTGCAGGATATCATAATTTAAAAATGCAACAAAAGAAACACAGAAATGCTCTCATAGAAAAAGAAAACTGCATCTTATATATACTTTCGAATACTTTTACGTTTTATCAATATATTTTAAAATGGCAATGTCTGGGGGTTATGCAATTTTTTTTGCACCCAATTTGTAACAAAATCATCCATCGCAATGTGGGCTTGACTGACTTAGTCCTTAACCGCTAAAAAATAGTATTTCACATAACTTCACCAAATTTTTAACGAAACGAAACAAGTGGGTCAACTGTTAGCTAGCCCATCCCACAGCTTGTAACCGAAACACCCCCCCCCCCGTAAAAGGCTCAAGTGAGTTGAATAATCAGAACTTCGATCCTGTGTCAAGCTACAAAAACAACGGCAACTATCTGTATCTGTATGAAAATATAAAAATTGGTAGAAGCACTTAGAAAAATAGAAAAGAACCAGCTTTTATTCATTTCACAAAATAACTTCAAAAACATTGTACCTTAAATACTCCAAAAGCTGATTTTCTCCACAAATGCGCTGAAAAGTACTAGAGGGCCACAAAGTCACAACATACTCGGCTTCATATTTATTTTTCATTTCTTTTGAAGTTGGTTCTCAAGAGTAAACAGCTACAAACAGGCTGTAAACTATGAAAGGTTGGAAAACCCCGCTCTTCAAAAAGCAGATGAAAAAAGTCATATTCATTAACTCACCAAACCCTTCTGCCTCTCTGGTGAAAAAAAAAAAGCCATTACCGTGCAGTACTTCCAACATACTAGGAAATCTGAATTCAATACAAAAAACAATTTTGATATAAATACGAGGGGCATACCAAAAGTTTTTTACCTGACCATGAAGGAATAAAGGTAGAAAGCTGAAATTTGGTACTATAACTAAGCTTAGTCTTTCTTTATGAAGTCACCTTCCAGATGTAGGACCTTGAAAAGACCTTGAGAATAGAGGACCCTCTCTATGACAGAAAACCAGCCCTCTACCGCTTCTTTGACCTCATCGTCACTTTTTTTACACTAAAATTTTATCAAAACATAGGATGGGCAATCAGTTCCATATATGGCATGCATCTCCGTAAAAATATCCTGCAGTTGCTTGCTTTGCAAGAACAAATGCTTCACTACTGCCCTGCGCTCAATTTTCTCCATTTTTGTGTTGAAACTGGTGAACAACATACCCCCATTCATGTACAGTTTGCTGGTGTTAAAACCAGTGATCTGAAATTCCCCAAAATTTACAGGCATTCTAGGAAGATGATTGTTGGCTTTCACATCAAATTTCAGCTTTCTATCTTTATTCCTTCATGGTCAGGTAAAAAAAAAATTTGGTATGCCTCTCGTATGTGTAAAAACAAAAACGAAGAGTCCAAAATGAAGATTAAAAAAACCCCTTGACACACATACAAAAATTACACATACCATAAACCAAGGAAGCCTAATATAGAAAAGTTACAAATGACGAGATTTTGTTATTCCAAAGACAAATTTTTTTTTTACATGAGCTGGAATTTTGACATTTACAAAGTTATTTTTACCTTTTCCTCCAAGCAGTGTATGTATGGAGCCTTTTATAACACTTCCTGCTAAAAGCAGAAAAGTTCAGACAGCACGACTAAAAAGTTGTTTTGATGCCACCATCTACTGGGGAATCATGTACCGATAGACCTAGCCCAGGTTTGGACACTCGATGTGGAAGAAAACCAATATCGCATGGGTCAGAGAACAGTGAGTTAAGTAACATTTGTGAAATCAGTACATTATCCACACATAAACGTGAGCACGACATGCTGACCAGCAAGAAACAATCGACAAAGCATCATCAGTCTACTACTGAAGGCCATTAGCAGCAAAACAGCATATAAGGCTAACAATTTTTTTTAAAATACATGCATAATTACAAAGTTTTTCTTACAATAGTTTGGAGAAAAATATTCATTTCTAAAGATATTTTTTATTAACAGAACAAACAAAAAAGTTATTTTCAAGCACCATAACATTTTCTTAAAACTGCGTCACGTCTTTTCTGGGATAACAAAAGTTTTGCCTTGCATCAGTACCGACACTGAAATAGACTTCTGTCCAAGAAAGAATATTTTTAAAAATTAAAGTAGGAACATTAATCATTAAACTCGCAACCAACACAAAATTATCTAAAATAAAAAGACAACAATCCGTGGAAATTAAAACTTAATTTGCAGCATGGATGAAAAAAGCCATCAATCTCCAAACGTAATACGGAAATATCACAATAGACACTACTGTCTCATCAATCACATTGTTTCATCGGACTCGGTTACTTATATACATGAATATATATATACATATATTTAGATTGATACATCAAACACATTTTTATATAAATTGTTCCAAAAAATTGTGAATAAGACCAGTCAATAAGAAGCATACCATGTTCAAAATTTGACATAATTCAAGTTTTTATCAACGGCAATGAAACATTTTCAAGCTGCAAGTTGTCTCCACAGAAAGAGTGCAATTTGATGGAAAGGGCAGGTTAGCAATGTGCAATGAAGCAAAACTTATATTGCCTAATCGCAGTAATGTACTCATTTATATTCGGCTGAACAGTTATTCTAGAGCCTTAAAGGTAACTGGAAAAATTGCATCAAAACTGCCTTACGTCTCATAATCCTGTAACTTTTTCTCAAAGTATGTTACAAGTTTCACCATTTAACTTTTCACCTCAAGATTTAAGCTAAAGCAAAAACTGAAATAGTCAATTCTGAACAAAGTATATCAATGCTGCCTAGGAATACAATTTACAAAGACATCAAAATACAGCAATCATAGGTAATTATCAAAGTAACCATCAACATACAAAACTAAAAACGAATATACATGTACACAGTGCTGCTATGATGTATGCTGATTTTTCCAAAATGGCAGAAAAGGCGCCAAAATTACACCTTTTTTCTTACGTTACATGAACAAGTCAGAAAAGAAATTATATAGGGTGGGAGAGGGAGCGAAATGTACTGAATACTGATAATGGGAGACATATCAAACAGAGTATTTCGTGAACCTTCAACTCAATGGGTCAATGTTGTCACAAACACACACCGAGGTGCTGCACCACAAGAAAAATACAAAAATACTTTTGGACCCCTGAGGTTTACACATCAAGGTCTACAGAGGTGGATTTATAGGGATAAATGAAGCAGCATTATGGAACAAATTATCACATAAGACTATGAACTCTTGCTGATGTCAAGAAAAAAAAAGTTAGTCATTCATGATTAGTACTTTCTCTTCACTGCAATCTCTTCTTTTTCGATACACGAAATTTTAATCAGTCTCCTAGAATATCACAATATATTTACAACTCATAGTTGTCGATTTAAAAAAATTACTGAGCACATAACTTTTCCTCCCTTCATTAACTATTATCTGCAACCCAGTGGCCCTTATTTCAGAAGTAAAAGCATTCATCTGAATTTATTTAATTTATTGAAAGCAAAAGTTGGAGGCGAATCTGCAAAGTGCAGCAAAGGCCACCAAAGAATAGTCCAGGAGGGATTGAACAAATCACCCAACATTGGGAAATTTCTGGAACCATTCATAGCACGATTTTTCTCCTTTCAAAACATTCCAGCTGAATGTCCCCACAGCCGGAATCGTAAAACAACTGTGTCATGTCAGATTAGAAGCCGTCAGCAAACTGAACTGGGGTAATACTTTGTGCTATCAGTTCTCACTCGGACAAGAGTTATACCGCGACCCACAACAATCACATATCTCCGAGAACAACCTGAGTAACATGTGCTGAGATCAACTGGCTACAGGGAGTCTGGCTCATTCAGTGCTGCTCTTATCTGTGGAGGGCAAGACATCTCTCTCCTTTGGTGGTTTTCGACCAAACTGCAGACGACGGCGCACTCTGCATAAGGTTGCTGTAATTAAAACAAAACAAAACATAACTGATCAGAAAACCAATTTAAGTTTTAAAATTCTTCAAGCTGCAGCTGAATAAAAGTTGGTCTCTAACTGTATTTCTTTCAAGCCCCTTATGATGAGTTATTTGTGTATCAATAAGGGTGCATAGGCTATATATCTGTCTGTTCGAGTGTAACTGACATAACAGTTATTAACAGTGTCCATTGTTGTATTTGTATTATGTACATACCGATTGAGTGTGCAAGCACATGATAAATGATAGTGGGGCTGAGCATAAAGGCACGCATAGAAGTAGCTGAAATGTGTTTTTATATGGACATAAAAGGTGTTAAGCCAAAAAAAAAATTTTGATAAATATTATAGCAAAACTGGCGGACAAATGCCTTTTTCTCGGATTTCATCATTTTGACGAGCGCCTGATTTCACCACGAAGCGTCACATATATAAAAAGCTACAAAGCCATGTTCAAAAGGAGGTACATGTTGAATACAATAATGAATTATATGAATGATATTAACCCTCTTTCAATCTATACACAAGAGAATCTATATATGAAGAGAGAAAGTGAATCACCATGTCAATTTAAAAAAAAAAAAGATTTACCCCCTCCGTCCACCTCGCAAGCTTTTAAATACTTTTATAGAGGAACTCATGTGTTAGGACAATCTGTCCTGAAATCTGAGTCAAACAGGGGGAAAATGAGTTGAAAACATTTGAAAGTTCAAAAAATATTTTAATGATTATTTTAACTTACCCCCAAATTGTTAAGAGGAGCTATATAATTATTATTACTAATTTTACTTAAGGTGAAATGATTGCCGGACACCAGCAATAGGTCCCAGTTCTGTAACATCTCTCCTGGATAACATAGTCCCTCTCTTATTCCCCCACTGCTAAATTACCATTCCAGTCGACACGATTGTAGCCATGTCGTTGGGGGACCAGAAGTGTGCAACAGCCTTTGGAAGAATAATTCAAGGGAAATAAATACAGGTAATCCTAGTACTCAACCTCACTGTAGTTGTCCCTCATGGCGCTAGGCGAAGTGAGAGAGAGGCAGTATCGTGTTTGCTTTGGCGGATATCAATAAGGTTATCAATAGTATCATGTGGGAGATTGCTCGCTAAGTGTCTGATGCCACGTACTATTGTGTGAACGTGCGTAACGTTACAAAACATCATCGGGTTCATCAATGCTAGGTCAAACCTGACCACGGGAGAAACATTGTTAAACCAGTTATATTTTTACTATATACTATATGGGCAGGGGATAAGAATACGAATCAGTACAGCCGTCACGACGCATGTAGTAAATTCGGTACCATCGTTTCAATTTTATTGGGTTTGTGTTACATCGGTGCTCGTTCCACTGAAAAAGGTCGTTATGTCCGAAGATCTTTACAACCGACTTCGCTACAAGTGGAGTGGACTGTATTGTGTTGAAATCCCTCTCTCAGTCTCTGTAACTCAGACTTAACACAAAAATTCTACTCCCCAGTTTGAAACACTTACCATGAGGTGCGTATGCAACTTCAGAACTGTCTGGCGGCGAGTAGAAGTGACCGTTCCGTCGGCATGCTTCTGACCACCGGGTCATGTACCTGTGAGGGGACAGGGAAACAAGGGGCGGTCGATTTCCACTTGTCCTGTCTGACTCTGAAAAAAAAAACCCCAGAGATATATATCAGAACAAAATGAGTTAAGAAACCAGCAAATGTTTCACATTATATGTGAGGCATCGTGGTGAAACCAGGCGCTCCCTCAAACTCAAAGCAAGGCAGTGTGCATACCACAAATTTACGACAGATTGTAAAGACCCGAAGCAGACAATGACAGTTACATCCAAAAAACAAACACAAACATAAAATGAAAAATAAAAAAAATCCCTCCCTTGTCACACACACGCACGCAC